AGTCTTCACTCGACGCCACAGCCGACATTTGTGATGAAAGCAATTAACCACGTTTTAGATTTGGTTATGCCTATTCAAAGACAGATGTCGCTGATCGCATAAGTTGATCGAAATCGCCGAAATTGTAGGCCGTCGCTTTAGCACATACTGGTTAATGAACTAGTATTTATACTGGCTGGTTTGGCATTTCACTGCGGAGAACTGGTATAATTATAGTCCATGACGCACTGGTATGACTCTCCCATTTAATACCAGTTCTCGCACTAGCATTTCTACCAACTAGTTCACTTTTTTCTGCGCGGAGCTGGTATAATTATGGTTCAAACGAACTGGTATGACTTTTATCCTTAAATAATAGTTCATGAACTGGAATTTGTGCATACTGGTTTAGCTTTTCACTGCAGGGTAGTCACAGCGCTGTGTGTGTTCCAATTAAATACACGAAAATAGTGTGTTTTATTTGGTGTGGGTTAGTGGACTCTGGATCCGCTGAGCTCACCTCAGCCTTCGACAAAACCCACCTCATAATTTTATGTGTGAGGTTTCTTTTTGATTTATTAAAATAAATCAATTTGTATGCATAATAATGAAATTTGTTGGGCATAGTGTTGTCATTTACAATTGAATTCTAGGAATTTTCAGGTTGGTGTGGGTGCTGCTTGGGCGCAGCTCAGAGGGGGGCGTGGGTATATTACAGTTGACATGACGATTTAACGGGTGACTAACGTTTGACTGACGGACTAGGTCAGGAAAAGGGAGTTTCGCATGATGAATAAGGAGCCCCGGTGGAACACAAGGCTAAGTGCCGTCGGCACTTAGAAGGTGTGGGATGGCTCCAACCCGGACAGGCTTCCTTTTCTTTCGCTTTAACATTTTTTATATTTTGGCATGACAGAAAATATTTGTTTGTAGTAGATGAAGGTAGAGGGGTGGTAAACAAATCCCCCCCTCCCTATCGCTTTTAGTGTGTTAGTGTGTTTTATGCAAAAAGTAGCATGAATTCAGTAGTCTTGCGATGTGACATGTAATTCAAAGAAATTAAGAACATGATAATTATGAATACAGATTTCAAAGTTTCTGATGCTGTGCAGCTATAGGTCGTTTCCGAAGTAATTTTCTGCGTAAAACTCGAGGTCGATCTTAGAACTGCGCCAATATGTTGAAGTTTTTCGCGGTTAAGCTCAGGAAAAACGGATTTAATGGCTTTTTTTGTTTGATCTATGCTGTTTAGTACTATTCTTAACATTCAAGTGTTAGATTCGAAGACACGACATTTTGAGCAATAATAATTCCAATAGATTTTTTCTTCTTCTTTTAGCTTCTTATTTCGCTTCTTTTGAGCTCGTTCCTCTTTAAAATAATATAATTCTCGCGTTTTTTTATTTTTCTACGTAATTCTTATCTTCTGAGTTTATATAAGATAGAAAAAATAAAAATTTTAACTATGGGACAATAACACTTTTTCTTTTTATTTGGCGCTGTAACTAGGAATGTTCGATATTTAAAAAAGTATCGATATTATGAATCGATTTAATTCATTGCATGTAAAATCTTAACAATATCGATATCGGAAAAATCGATGTTGAAAACGTCGCTATAAAAAATGTTTTGGAACACATCAAGTTAACTAACCGTTCGGCTATGGAAAAACTAGAAATGCAGATCGATAGTACTTTTTACGCTGATTTCAACTGTATAAAATTTATTTGACGCAATTGAGAAGTAAAAAAGATATAAGAGGTAAAAATTTTGTTTCGATATTTTAAAATATTAATATTTTCTAAACTACGTAACCGATTGAAAAAGTAATGATGTCCAAATCAAGGCAATCAATCTATCTTTAAGTTGATATATAAAATGTGTGTGCTTCTTTATATATTTAAGCCAAAACTATTAAAAAACAAATAAAGTGTTATAATTTTTTCATAAAATAACCTTTTTTAGAAAAAATTGGCTTATCAATGCTAAAGAAATATATATTATTTAGAAATTGCAAGTTCTTACCTTTAATTTGATATATATATTTTATTATAATCTGCTTTTGAGGTTTAAGAATTCAGTGATAAAAAAAATTAAAAGCATTTACAAGCAACTAGCAAGTGTAAGGTGATATCATAATTTCTTTTCCCCAGAACTTCTTTCTGCGTAGGCGGCCTTCGGACGCGCTTTAGGATTATAACCCTTACCAAATAGAATTCTCCTTTTGGTGTGCACCAACTGGGGCTACGCTCCAGTGATGTAGCCTTGGGAAAGGATGAGGTAACTAGAATTCTCCTTTTCTGTTTTTTAATATTTTTGCTTGAATATATAAACAAGCATACAAATTTTATATATCAACTTGAAGATAAATTAATTGTCTTTATTTTGACATCATTACCTTTTGAATCGGTTACATAGTTTAAAAAATATTAATATTTTAAAATATCACAATTTTTCTGTTTAACCTCTTATATTTACTTTACTTTTCAATTGCGCCAAATAACATTTATATAGTTGAAATAAGCGTAAACAGTACTATCGATCTGCATTTTTAGTTTTTCCATAGCCGAACGGTTGGTTAACTTGATGTATGCCAATATTTTATTAATGAGATTCAAAAAAATCGCGTAAATTTATAAACTCGACGGTGGCAAATTGAATCACAGACTCCAAGAGTATGAACTCCATTTTATTGGGATGATATTGAGGTTTTATTTAATAATATGCAAACACTTATTTCTTATAACACACTAGGCGAACACTAGGCCCAGCGGTTGAAATTCAACCGCTAAAATTAAGGATAGTTTATGTGAGTTGAGTTGAGCTGAAATAAAAATGTTGGAATGGGTTAAGTGGAGGGGAGTTTAGCTTAGTACTTAGCATAACATAACATAGAATAGCATTAGATTCAATAACATAAAATATGTAGCATAACACATCACAATATAACATCGCACATTCTTCAGTTGTATTTCCTTTATATCCCTATCACTTTCTTCCTCTCTATCTTTGTCTCTATCGCTTTTAATGTTTATGTTTATGTTTATCTACACCTTCATGTTCATGTTCATGTTCATGTTCATGTTCAAGTTCATGTTCATGTTCATTTTCATGTTCATGTTCATTTTCATGTTCATGTTCATGTTCATGTTCATGTTCATGTTCATGTTCATGTTCATATTCATGTTCATCTTCATCTTCATCTTCATCTTCATCTTCATCTTCATCTTCATCTTCATCTTCATCTTCATCTTCATCTTCATCTTCATCTTCATATTAATCTTCATCTTCATCTTCATCTTCATCTTCACCTTCATCTTCATCTTCATCTTCATATTCATATTCACCTTCGTCTTCATATTTATCTTTTCCTTTATCCTGATCTATATCTTCATTCTTTTCTCCATTTACGTATTTACCCCCACCATTGTTATTAGGTTAGGTAGTTAAATTTTCCTTCCTCTTTTTCTTTATATTGTTTCTTTAGTGATATCATGTCATGTGTTGAAATTGGGTGTGGTGAGTTGCAGTGTGGTGGAATTGGGTGTGGGAGTTACGGTGTTATGAATTCAGGTGTGGTGGTCTTAAGAGGTGTGGTGAATTTAGTTGTGGTGAGTTGAGGTGTGGTGAATTAAGGTGTGGTGAGTTAAGGTGTGGTAGATTAAGGTGTGGTGAGTTAAGATGTGGTGAGAAAGTTGGGGTGTGGTGAGTTAAGGTGTGGTGAATTAAAGTGTGGTGGATTTAGGTGTGGTGAATTAAGGTGTGGTGAATTTAGGTGTGGGGAGTTAAGGTGTGGTGAATTTATGTGTGGCGAACTCAGGTGGAGTAAGTTTTTAAGCGGAGGTGAGATGAGTTGAGGTGAGTTAAGTTAAGTTAAGGGGTTAAGTTAAGATAAGTTATCTTTATCCTTATCTTCATATTCATCTTCATCTTCTTCCTCGTTTTGGTCTTCAAATTCTTCTTCATCTTTATCCTTTCCTTTATCCTGATATAAATATGTCCATTCTTTTCTTCATTTACATATTCACCCCCACCATTGTTATTTATTAGGTTAGGTATTTAAATTTTCCTTCCTCTTTGTCTTTATATTTAGGTTTCATTACTTTTATTTTAATTTCTGTATTTATCCCTTTCTTCTTCTCCATACTCAAAATTATCTTCATCCTTGTTTGAGGCCAATCTATTCATGTACATACATACATACATCTTATTCCTAAACTGCTGCTTAGCACGTTTCTTTAATTCATTATCAATATTAAAGCATACATTTAGGAGGCATTTCCGCCCCAACCATGTACATGTATGGCATTGGTATTGGTGGGACTTTTGAATTGATTTTTTCGCTCTATTTTAAACTAATTTGAAATTTTAAAAATTGCCTGCACATAAGCATCAAAATACCTTTCTAATGATATATAACTGTTTATACCTTAGAAGTACAGTTTAGCCGTAAAAGGGGTGTAAAGGAAAAATGATTGCCTATTTATATAATTGATTATGAAAATACTTTTCTTATCGTAGACTTTCTACTTTCAATATATCCTTTCGATCTGTGTAAGACAGAACAGTAACGTTACATCACTATCATTGGACATATCCTATATTATAAAAGAATACCACTTTTTAATTATGTATTCAATAATACAAAAGTCTGTTCAGACAATATTTGTCCATTGAAGACAGTGCAGTAGAACAATCTCAAAGCACATAAAATTCTTTTCATCTTCAAACAACTTACCAGGACATCTCCTATCAGTCTCCACAATAGGGTACCACTACATTTTATGTTTAATATCATTTAATATTTGGAAAAAATGCATATGAAAAATTTGTCAATCCAAATGGCAGTCGGCAAACTCAAGGGATTTCAGGAATAATACTTTGGATAAATGCTGAGGCGTTAGGCGACTCCTATCATCCGTAATACGACCAGCTGCTGAGAATAATCGCTCAGAAGGCACGGAACTTCCCAGTAGGCAACAATATTTCGAAGCCAGTTGTTAATTTGTGATTGGGATTACCTATATATTGTTTGAGATCGATGTCGAGTTAGAACAATCTGCTTGAAGATTTTCAGTCTTTCTCTTCTGTGAATTGGGTTGCTTCAAATCGTGTATGTGACCACTGACTAGATTTAATACTTGTGCGTCATACAAATCGTTTGGAAAGTACGAACGCTTGAAACGGGGATCAAATAAAGCTGCAACTCCGATTAACGATTGGAATCTTATTGTCTCATAGCATCCAAGCCTCTTCTTAATCTCCGACATAAGCGAAGTTTTAACCACCTTTCCTACGTCGGAAATTGGCTGCAGCTTCTTCACTTCAGTACGAAACCAGTCGATGAGCATTAATACTTTGTTCCCAGTAGCATACTTCTCTCCACTAATACTTAGGGTGACCTCTTTGGCTGGTTTTAAAAGAATCACTAGTTCTTTTAATAAGTTCACCTCAGCTGGAAATATCATCTGCGGTGATCCATCCAGACTGAGGAGTGTACAAGTGACAGCATAAAGCAGGACTAGGAAACGTTGGATCATATCGAAAGTTGAGTTCCATCGTGTAGGACAATCCTGGATTAAGCACAGTTGGTACTCATCCTTGGCCTGAGCTTCACGAAGCTTATAGACCGCTGTATTTGACTGACCAAAGAACATTACAATCTTCTTAATCTTGGCGATTAAATTCTTAACGGCTTCGATTGCATTCAACACTGACTGCATGACAAGATTAACGCTATGTGCCAAACAGCTAAGATATTTAGTCTCACCAAATGTATCAATTGTAGCTCTCACGATGTTTCCTCCGTTATCTGTCACGACTGCAAACATTTTATCTCATTCCTAGCTGTAACCGCCTAAGTGATTTTGGCCTAGTTCAGCAAAGCACGCCAGTCATTTCTCTTCTGTGCCAACTGACGCCAATTGGAAACGCCAAGTGAAGCCAAGTCCTTCTCCACCAGCACGGGCATGATGAGTGACTTATAGAGTGTGGTTTTGGTACGTCGAAAGAGGACTTTACTGCTGAATTGCCTACTCAGTCCAAAGTAGCACTTGTTGGCAAGAGTGATTCTGCGTTGGATTTCCATGTTGACATTATTATCGGTGTTAATGCTGGTTCCCAAGTAAACGAAATTCTCTACTTTCTCTGACAATAACACGTTGAATTGAAATTTTTCAATAAAAAATTAATTTTGGGCGGGACGAAATTCGCCGGGTCTGCTGGTTTACGTATAAATATGTATTATGTTTTGACTTGGAACAAAAAGTAAAAGAGCGCAGAATAAATAAAAACAGACGAATTTACAGAAATTTCAAACAGAACATAGCTTTATTTTATTTAAAATACAATAATTAAAAGCGCGTAATTTACTTCACAAATAACAAAAAATTCATCAACCATATTTATGAAAATAATGCAGTAACAAAGCGGTTGAAAGATATTCAAAAGGGGCTTAGAGCGCGGTTACCAACGAACGTGTCCGTAGCGTAGCGTACGTACGTAGAAAGATATCAAGTGTGCTGTTGATAGAAAGAGAGAGAAGCAACGTCGTAGCGGTCATGCGGTGGTGAGTTTTTGTTAACACGCTGATGCCATAAGATAGATCGTGTCAGCTGACACCTTCTCCGTTTTTACGTCCGTGGGTAACTGCGCTTTTAGTCACTCCGTACATTACGCGCCTTATCATAGCAGTGTGTGTACTAGTATAGGCGTTTTGAATTTGTGTTGTTTACATTTGTATTTATTTTATTTGTAATAAAATTTTATTGACACTAATTGTGTTTAGTCTTGTATAGTTGACTGAAGAAGGTCAGAGCAAGTGTACGGTTAATATAGCATAGTAAAAAATTGTGCAGAAGTCGAGTGGTCATATACATATTTGTTCCGGCATGATGAAAGGCTTATTTACTTTGCTATGATTAGGCTCGTAATGTACGGAGTACCTTACTAGTAAATGTGTGTATGTATGAACATACGCTTGGAGTTTATATATGGATATGTATTTATATAAAAAGAAAGAAACATTTGACTAAATACATACAACCGTAAGCAGTGGTACAATTAAAATGTGTAAGACGTAAATAGGTTTTTATAAAATGTGTGTAAACATTTGTATGCAAATATCCCACGGAGAAATAAATTTGTCGTGGAGTAGTGCATATCTACTAATTTCCAACTTTTAACAGCCAGTGTACCTATTTCTACTTTTCGTTAGTGCAGAGAGAATATTTTCTACCGCCACTTAAATTTAGATAGTTTCTCGATTTACTATACATATACGCAATCTATTTATCGCAATCTATCTATTTATTAATTATAATTATAAAGCCAATGAACTATGTATTCTTCTCTGCAAGATATTTTCTATGTATGTTAGATTGTCCATATTAAAAAATTAAAAAACAATAATGGCCTAAATTTACCAATTCCAGAAATATCTTAATTTGAAACAAAAACTAACAATTTCATCAAACTAGGGGCTTTTAACAAATGCAGTATATGCAATATTCATATACAATATTTTTATTGTTTCAAGTTTTTAAAATGTATTTATTTGAAAATAAATTATCATTTAGTTTAATAAAAAATGTCTTTTGGTTCAAACTAATTATATACATATACATACATATATAGTTAATAAGATTTCTGAAACTAAATACAATATATAATTAAACAATCAATAGCATGCTCAAATATTTATACCACAAAATTTTGTTTAAGTGTTTTGTTTATAGGTTTTTCGTTAGTAATTTCCATTCATGTTGAGGCCTTGCCCGAAAATTATAAAACGTGGATGTTGAATTTGTCTTACTTCCACACAATTAAAAATTTATTTTTATCTGTATCAAATGTGACAAAATCAAATTTCGCTGAACCCATACATTTAAGTATGTATTACTAAAAAAGGCTACACATTTGGAGCCTTTTGGCTCAAAGGCCACGGACAACATTTTAATTCAGCTTCGTAAAATTATTATATTGGTTCAAATTGATAAGTTAACAACAATTCAGGTTACTGAAAACTTCAAACCACCTATGCCTACAGATAACTTAAAATCTATCCAAAAGTAAGCAAAACGTTTCCAAGAAATACGAAATTTCTTTTATCAAAATTTCATAAATCAGCTTAGAGCTCTTAAGAAAAATATGCTTTTAGGGCCATTTTAGGTTTTAAAATTTAACCTCATTTTAAAAACAAACTATGTTCTGAAAAAATGTGTTTGAAGGGTAGCTAAATTTCGAAACGTACTTTGGAAAAATACACTTAAATTTATTTCGCCAAGAAAATTTACAGCAGCGGCAAAGTACTTTTTCAGGCAACACAAAAATAATGAGAAATATTGCTTCAGATTATTATTGAGAGCTGTATACTAAGCTTTATGTATATTAAAAATTCAACATAAAATTCATTTAACTTTATCTTGTTAAGATATGCTTTGTAAGCAAATATATGTATTTAAGTATGTTAAGATTGAGCAAGAATTATTTTCAAACAGAGCTAAGCTTCCAAAAATACACATTAATTCAAAAACAAATTCAAGCATATACAAGTGTATACGTACAGTACTTATAAAAAATATAATTGTGTGGATGAGTTTATGCATTTAAATTTGTTGCAGTACAGCGCTAATAGGTAAACATTTGTTTTATGCTGCACAGTCAATTTCAATTCAGTTAGTTCAAAAAGTTATCATTACCCTCTCTTATATTTAATTTTTAGTTTGTTGTTTCATTAGTAAGTGGTCGTAATTTTACTATCCCAGTGATTTACGTCCACGTACTGGGTACCTATCCTAGTAAGGCTTCGAAGCGTCCTTGGGTTTCTTCAACTGCACCTTCAAACGCTTAGTGCCCACTTGAAAACCATTCATTGCTTTGATGGCCACTTGCGCTGATTCCGGGTTATCGAAAGATACAAAACCGAAACATTTGGAAAGATTGGTTTGCTTATCTATGAAAACTTTGGCGGAAATGACATTGCCGAATGGAAGAAAAGTTGATGCCAAATCAGTATCGGTGAATTCTTGTGGTAGGTGATAGATGAATAAATTACATCCTTCAGGACCTGCAGATGATAATTGAAAAATTATGCGTTACAGAGGTGATAAAATGTATTCAATACTATATATTCCTAGGATAATCTTTCTTTATATGGATTTAAACCACGTTCATTATCATAACTATTTTTAGTTAGAAATTATGGTTAAAAAGATTGCCAGATGAATCAATGATTTTAACCTAACTTCCCGAAAAAGCTAGAAACTTGAAACTTTGAGCATGCTTCCAATCACGATGACAATGAAATTTAAAATATAAATTGATTTCCTAAAATAATTTTTCGTAGTCCCACAGAATTTGTTTCGATAACCTTTGCTTTTAAAATTTTAGCAAGAGTCATTCAGCCTCATTGCGAGAGTCGTGTCGAATGCAAGTCGTTTTTCGAGAGTCAAATCGTAAATCATGTCATTGCTTACAACTTTCACTCGCCTAGTGTATTAAAACGGAAACACTTGGCGCCAATGCACAGTTTTCGACGATTTTCGTCGTTTACATATATTAGCACGACAGTAGGCAATGCCAATATTGTCCAGTCGTACAATTCAGCCTAATTTAAGATTTACGCAATGAGGCAAAACAATTTGTTAGATAGAAAATGAGAAACGTGGGGGCATGTAATATACTTGAGAAGATATGAAAAGTAATATATATATTGGCGTGCCCATTTGGAAATTTCAAAACCCTACACCCTAATTTTGTTCGTTTTTATGAGAAATATTTTTGCCTATTTTTATAGATTTTTTAAAGGTCATTTACAGGTCACGACCTGTCAATTTAGGTCAAAAAATAGGATTTTGTAGATTTATGAGGTCTTGAATGACTATTTTTTGATTCGATTTCAAAGATCGAACATGATCTGTGAAGATAATATATAGGCCTTTAAATAGTTTACAAGAATCCATTGTCGGGCTAGGCTTGTTGGGATTTTTTATCTGGTAAATTAAAAAAAAAACCATATTTATCTTAATTTTTTTAATTTTTACCATCGATAATGTCTACAATTTCAAAACATATGGAGTACTATCTAAAATTAAATCTTTTTTCAAATAAACTGATACCATTTATTATATATTTAACCGAAAAATGAAATCAATCGAACTGCTTGGTCCTGAAATATAAGCATTTAAAGAGAGTGTCGTTACGTGACAAAAAATGGAAGTTGATTTTTTCTTTTCTTACAAAATCGCAAAACTCTGCGAATTGTGGATGGCTATTTTCATTAAACTTATTTTAATATGATTTGGAGCAATTCTAGTTGTTTTTAGAGTTTTTTGAATTAATGCAAATTGTTTCAATTCTCTTTTACAACCCCAAGTGTGAAACGTGACGTGACGTGGCGTCACGTGACATAAATTTCCATCGTTATATTTTTGTTAATATTGCTTTTAAATGAATTTTTAACGCAAATAAAACATGTATTTTATGTAGAATATACTTTATATTTTGACTTCAGCGCCAATTCAGGGTCAATTTATCAGAAATCTATGATCTATTATGTTTCAACCACATACGCCAAATTCGAACCAAATTAGACCATAAATACGGTTTTTCGAAATATCTCGACCTTGGCACCACCTAGGAAGACCATTTTATGCAAAGATGATTCTACTTACATAGCCAGTATATATTTTAAAAAGCAGACAAATCGGCCCGTAAATACGTTAGATATACAACTTTTATTTTTTTTGTCGTGGTGGACCTTCCGCTGGAAACACCCATATGTGTATCTCAAAAATTACTTGACCGATCTCAACCAACACATTGCGCTTTGAGATCGGACAAAAACCACGGGCTCCACTAACGTAACGGTAATTTGAAAGAATTCAAAGCTAGCTATATTTTAGGAGTAGGGTTTTCCGATTTTAAAAATATTCAATACTTGAGGAGTCTAAGCACAATGTGTATACCAAATTTGGTCGAGATCGGTCAAGTAGTTTTTGAGATACGCATATATCACATAAGTGGGCGGTGCCAGCCCCATTTTCCTAAAATCTCTTGAAAAACCACTTTTTTGCTAAGGAGCGATTGTATATATCAATCTATATATATAAAAATGGTGTGAAAAATTTATATTAATTCGTCAATTGAGAACGGCAGATTTGGCTAAACTTTTTTTTAGTTGTTCGTAATAGCTTGGAGAAGGAAAACCCTCCGGGAAAATCGGAAAATTGGAAAAAGCGAAAATTAATTTTTTAGTATGGAATTTTGTGTGCAATTCCTTCGGAATGGCATTCGAATGGAAAAATAGAAAATTCTAAGGGGAAAACCCGGAAAAATCCGGAAGAACGCGAAAAATTTGAATTTTTTTCGACGAAAGCTTGGAAATTTTCGGATAATTGTTAAATTCATTGGGAGTATGAATCAATTTGGAACATTTTCTCCTATGTTTCATAACCGTTTCGAATGGGTGCTGCTTTTTTGGAAAGGTGTTTAGAAGAAGAGTGCACAAAGTTCTATTTTTTATGAATCCGTAATCAGCACCAAAACGCCTATCAACACTACATACACTAGGAGGTGATCTCGCGAACGGCTGTACCGATTTTTTGAAATTTTGGACACCTACTGCAGACTTTCGATATATTAATGAGCGTGGCATCACCCATACATATCGAATTGTTCATACCGTATTTCTCTGGAAGTATTTGCGGTAGTGTCCTGGAAATTGGTATAGAGATTTTGGGCCTACTGGAAAAGGGACGTGGCGCTTTCCAAACATATTGAATTTTTAGATAGGTATCTGTAAATATATACACTAGGCTGGGTCGATTTTGTATGGGGGAAGATAAAAGGCTTTTGTATTGATATTATGATGTCTTAGGTCTAAGCGAATTATTATTGGCCACGAAAGATTAATTTAAAACTTATCTTTAGTCCGCGCAATTGAATCAAAGTGTATGCATTTTTAAAATTAAACTTTGGCTTGTAATATCTATGCAATGCGTTAGTTGTTCTAAACAGGACGATATATCAAATTAAGGGTTATTGAATTTAGTATCCCACGTTCATTTATCATTTTTCAATAAGTCTACAAGTTTTTAAGACATTAAGATAAAACTTACAAAAACTATAATTTTCCCTTATGAATTCTCAATTCTTCATTACTTCAGCAACCATGTGAAAAATTCAAAAAAGTGAGACGAGATTTATTTCAAACGTTTTAATGTTTTCGGATGTTTATATTTAGATTTTGTCAGTTTTCAGATTGTGGTGAATGAAGTTAAACATGTATTTTGAAAGATTAGGAATCGTTTGATAAGCTAATAGTAGTTTCATGCATATAAGTATTTACATACAATAACATCCATTTATCCATTTATGCAGTCTTGAAAATTTTGTGCGGTTTCTAAATCTGCCGTTATATGAAAGTAGGGGACGTCCAAGAAGTGTTTAGATATACATAAATATTTTAGTTAATTCCATTATGTGAAAAAGTGAATGTAGGTAAATGCAATAGTCTTTAACATATCCTGGGAAATCCTTTTGAGGACTCTCCAATTGGACGATATTGCTTTGCATTTAGCTTGAACGAAAAAAGTCACTCCCTGGCACACTCTTCTGTAATCCGGTTCTATCATTTAAAAGTTATTTATACAATTGAAGAGACATTTTTTTAGAAAAAAAACTGGAGCTCCACCTAAGTTTTTCGATATAACTTTGGTAAATGTTACTCGATCGGTACGTAGTAATCACCAAATTGAAGGCGAGACTTAATGTTACTGTCATTTCCTTATATTTGCAATTTTTATATTGTATGCCTAAACATAAGTAAACTAATTAGTGTTTCTAGAAGTTGTGCCTATTCAGTGTTTCCATACTCATTTGCGTAAACAAAATCTTTCCACGATGATGGAAAATAATGGATTTTCTATTAGAGTTACCGAAATTGTTCCTAAATTTGCGAAAATTCCCATATTATAGCTAATATTAAAAAAAGACTAAAATATTTGGAACTAATCGCTAGTTAAAATGCACGCTAGCAATATTAATGCTGTTCTTTACATGTTTTGACTCTAGACCAGTGCAATTAGCAAGAGAACAATTCAAATTTTATTGAAAACAGATCACTTTGAGATTAACGGTAAGCTAAAGAGCTGGGGGAAATGAAATTTGACTTTTTCTTTTGGGTAAACGGATTCATTATCTAATAATATGCACCAAAACTTTTTGCGCGGGCTCTTACAACTAAAATAAAATACTAATATTTTGCAGGCTTGCTGTTGACTTCATGATACAATATATTTTCACTATTACCAAGGGATTTGAGAAAAATTAAATTTTCGACCCGCCCTAATGTACACCCAGAATACAGTGTTTTTTTATTTTTCATAATAAATTTTTTTCTCAAATGGCACCAAATTTTGAGTATGCAGTTCTGTAGTCCACTCAATTTCAGTATCACAAAGTTCAAGTTTTAAATGGCTATAAGTTACCGTTGATTTTAGAATTTTTTTCGCTGATGATGTCGCGTATTTCCTACGTATAACGAACGCGTGGTAGTATTTTTGTATGGGAAAAAATGCCGAAGAGTGTCAGTATGTAAAAAACTTATTCTGGTTGCTTAGCTCCTCCTAAACGAAACGATTTTAATGATAATTTTTTAATGATAATTTTTAGTGCGCGGGAGCCGAGTTATTGCTGAAAATCGTTGATTCGGAGGAACCAGGGATCAAAGCCAAATTACTCCTGTTAAATCAACCATCAGAACCATTGCGGTCCTTGCTTTACGGTGACTACACAGAATGTGGACCAATGAGACTCACCAGTTTAGAAATTGTCACCAACTGTACTACGCAGATTCAAGGACGATTCACCATCGAGCCACAAGGACTTCTTCCCGGTATAACGCTTTCGTCAGGTTATTTAAGACGGCAATGAAGGATATGCCTTCTGTCGACCACAAAACCAAACGTGAACGTGAATTGCTGGCGAAAACTTGGACCAAATGTTTCAATAAAAAAGCTAATTTTGGGAGGGACGAAGTTCGCCGGGTCTGCTAGTTTGGAATAA